CTTCCTGCACCTTTTTCTGGTGTACATGCATTTGGATATGCAAGTCAATAAAATGTTATTTTTGTGAAATTCATCACAAAACTGCTGCAATCACTGAATTTCTTGAATTAAGAAAATAACTGCTTATGCCTTGAGTTTTCTGACTTTTCCAAAATGGTTCATAGATCCATAGAATTGCATCAGATGTTCAGATTTGGAATTTTTTTCTTTAGTAGGTATTTCTTACTTAAAATTTGATTGGAAAAAATGTGGAAACTTATAGGTAACTGCACGATTGCTTACTGGTATTTGGGAGTATGGGTCGGGTAACCAGACTCAAAAATAATTCAGGAAAAACCTGAATGCTACCCTTTTGATGTAAAAGATGTAAAATCCAGAAATTAATTATTACCTGGTTAGAAGAAATCTGACAATTTGGCAAAATGGTATTTGATAAATAAAATACAATGTTTCATGTTTGAGGGAAAAAAATCTTTCAAATTGAATTCTTACATACAAAAAAAAAAAACTTGCATGCACAATTTTTTTGCATTTCATGTCAAAATTAAAGCACATAGATACAATATTGAAAAAAAATGTGTACAAAAAATAATAATTGAATATCCCTATATTCTTTATTCATTTGATATATATATATATATATATATATATATATATATATATATATATATATATATATATATATATATATATATGTATATATATATATTTATATATGTAAAGTTTTATTTTAAATCTATTAATTTTCTCACCGTGTTGTCACATCATTATATATTGCGATGTCATGTCTTTATTCCTTGACACTAGATATGCAACAAGTTTATGGAAACTTTATGAGAAAACAACTTAATCAATGTTAATGTAAATGGACATTATGACCTACATTTTAAATTAGTTATTTATTGTCTACATTACTTGATCCAATACCAAACAAATTACTTTTATACAAAGCTCATCTAATAAAATATCATCTTGAGTATCACAAAAACATTTTCTACAATATCCTTGGCCTTACTAACAATCAGAAAAAAAAACAATCTTTCTAAATAATTAAAAAAATTTAATTGAATTGAAAGGTGAGATGAAAGATGAATTATTATAAATTTTCTTTAAAAATTTGATTTTCCAACATTTTTTTCAAAGATTAGAGCTGGCTAAATTTTACCAACTTTGAATTAGGTATTATTCCATTAGGACATTTTTACCTGCTAATCATAAGCAATTATTGCTCTACCTAGTGACAGGTTCAGACCTTTAAGTGTTGGATAATTATTACTGACCACCGACCAGCATTACTTGTGGTTACGCTCCAGTAGATAAGTGTACACATTACTGAATGTTAACCAACATACACATAACAGTGCCAGAGATGAATAATTTTGCTTCATTATAATCAAAACTCAATCATTATATATGTTAATTCATAAAATATTTAAAAACCTTGGGGAATGAATATAACTTGGCTGTAAGCCTTAATTTATTTTATGTTTGATAAAAGCATGTATTACTGCACTTAATCTGTCAACCTCAATACCTTCATCAACAGGACATGGATTCATCACCATATTTGTTCCCACCCCCTCCCCATTTGTAATGAAAAAATTATCAAAGCTTATTTCAGTCAGCACTATAAGTAATGTGTCTCTCAAAAATTTGACACAAACACTACTTATGAAAAAGAAAGAACCTCTTTTTTACATGTATATCTGCTATGCATTTCTGAAAGCAGTGACTTTGACCTCAACCAATTGACCTTGGCTTTGGGTGAAAACAAACTTCAGGTCATAACCAAGTCTTATTTATGAACTTGAAGATCTTTGTAGATAAGAGGTATGGCATAGAGAAATATTTTGTACCCTTAAAGCCTTTGGGCTAACTGAAAGACTCTTGATTGTTAGACAGCCTCAAACTGTCTCCATGTAATTACAAATCTTCTTCAACAGCTGTTCAACACTGGAAGTGACAGATGAAAGACCTGCCAGGGAAGAGCCTCCAGGGTTGGTATCTTCAGAGGATGAAGACCTTTAAGGGGGGAGGAATGTAGAGGTCAGGCGGGTTCAATTGTCGGTGGCCAGATAGCTTAGTTAGTAGAGCACCTGACTGGAGATTCGGGGGGCCCAGATTCGTATCCTGGTCTGGCCCTTCATATTTTTCTCCTCTCCTGTTGCTATGCAATATATTTCAAATTTCTTACCGAAAGGGAGGGGGGTAGGATCACTGGGATGGAATAACATCGTTTAGGGAATTATAGATATCTCCCCAAACAAATGCATTACTGCTTAAATTCAAACTACTCTGAAATATCACATCACACAAACATGTATGCAATGACTATAACAGGAAGAAACAAAATGCAATGAATTTTGGACAGCTACTTTCCCAGTTGAGATACCTGATCACTGGTGAACAAACCTATCTGACCACCAAACTGAACACATTTTAAGAACCCTCTTTTAAATATATATCTTTAGGACGGCTACAAGCCAGACCCATCCTTGGCAGGTTTTCCATCTGTCACTTATGTTCAGTACAAAGAATGATTCTAGTATTATGTGGGTAGTGTTAATTAATTTTCATAATCTTTAGATATTTCAAACCCTCGGTAAAAAAATTTAGACATTTCTCATTATCTGCTCTGGATGTACATGTAATTGTTGGAGAAAAACAATGCCAGGGCTTAGACACATCATACTTAGTAATAAAATTAATGCATAAAAAATGAATATGACAATCACAGGACAACAAATAGCACAGATTATTGGAAAAATTGCATAGGTGCAAAGTGTGTGGTATTTCCATGTTTGAAAAATCGTGCTTTTTCCCGCGAAACTGACACCTGTGTTAAGTGTGTAACTTCTTTTCTGCAAAGGATATTACATGTAAAACAATGGCAACAGAAGACTTTATTCTTCTGTTAGTAACAAAAAATGGAAATATTTTCACAAACTTTACAGTTTATGACTTTTGAAACATATTTTTTCGAATTTTAAGTTTACCTTCTCGAAGTAAGATTGCAACAGTAACTCGTACTTAGATTTTTTCGTAATTTTTGTGAAAAGGTTCTTGCTTTTTTCATCAGTTGTCTTTTATCTCTTAATTAAAAGAAATTAATAAATTTTCTAACAGAGTTCACATTTCAGTAACTTTGTCAAGATAATGCTATATAAAACTCTAACTTTCATTTTCGAAAGAATACATGATGCCGCGAGTTGACAATCAATAAATCACCGAAAAATAACAGTCTAAACACGTGGATGGACCGTGAAGAGAAATATTGTCTCCAATGATTGTTTAAGTATCTTATTTCATTCTTAGTGCATCTTTTATATAGAACATAAACCTAAGGAATGAGGTGATGTGTCCAAGATTTTTCAGTGACCTATCGTAAACTATTTTATAACCTGATAACAGCTAGGTTTATCAAATGCTCATGATCTGTCATTTAAAAAAAAGGTAGGCTCTAGGCCTAGTGAATAAGCAACTCTTTGTGTTTTGTGTCGTAGCAAAGGCTTGTGCACAGTGGAAAAACAAAACACAGAAGTTCTTTAAAAAGCTGATGCTGCGGCAAATATCATTCAAAGTTAATGTGGGGGCTTTTTAAAAGTGGACAAGTTTTAATGAAACTATTTACTTTCAATTAAACAGCTATTAACGACAGGGTTAGGGTTAACCAAAGAACGAAATATACTAGGGGTGTAACAATATGGATAAAGTGTATCATGATACACTGTATTCTCTTTAGAGAAGTGGGCAGGCTTTCGCCTACATCCACTTCTCTTCGCAAGCCTTCATGTTTTGATTCTGGAAAACGTGTAAATCTCGAACCGGTGACGGTCTACACTTCAACTGACATTTTGTCTAAAATACGTCTGAATGTACGTAATAGACGTGTTATATTAAGGCGTAGGTGAAAGCCTGTCCACTTCTCTAAAGAGAATAGATACACTGATGCTGTATCATGATACTAGATAGAATATTCTATCATTAAAATGATATGAGTCCAGGCTATCAGTAGGTACATGTATAAATCACGTAGTCATTCAGTAATTACTAGTTATACTTGTCATTTATTTCTTTTTAGCTCTTCTGAGCCAAAGTCTCAAAGAGCTAATGCTATGGCCATTTGTGCAGTGTGCATAAACTTTTTAGAATATGGGCCATAACTCAAGAACCCCCTGGCCAATTAATTTGAATTTTATGGCTAATCTTTTTCAAAACAATTAAGGTCATTAATTCAAATACTCAGAGGTTTAGAATCATTGAATCTTGTAAGATGATGCATCTTGGGTCTTCGGAGTACAACAACTGAAAAGTAGGTCACTGTGACCTACTTTTGAAAAATTTATGGCTTTAATTAAATATTTCAGGTACTAATTGGCTTAGAATCATCAAAATTTGTCAGTTGATGCACATCGGGTCCTTGGAGTACAACTGGAAAGTAGGTCACCCTGACCTACTGTTGAAATTTTATGGCTGTATTTAATTTTTTTGGGTACTATTTGGCTCAGAATTATCAAAATTTGTCAGTTGATATATCTTGGGTCCTGGCAGTAGGTCGACTGAAAAGTAGGTCACCGTGACCTACTTTTCAATTTATATGACTATAATTAAATATTTTGGGTACTAATTGGCTAAGAATCATCAAACTTTGTCAGTTGATGCATCTTGGGTCTTCGGAGTAGGTCGACTGAAAAGTAGGTCACCATGACCTACTTTTGAAAATTTATGGCTTTAATTAAATATTTCAGGTACTAATTGGCTTAGAATCATCAAACTTTGTCAGTTGATGCATCTTGGGTCCACAGAGTTAGTCGACTGAAAAGGAGGTCACTGTGACCTATTTTTGAAATTTTATGGCTTTATTTAAATATATCAGGTACTTATTGGCTTAGAATCATCAAACTTTGTCAGTTGATGCATCTTAGGTCCTCTAAGTATGTCATCTGAAAAATAGGTCACTGTGACCTACTTTTGAAATTTTATGGTTATAATTTGAAAAATGTTTTAGGTATTAATTGGCTTAGAATCATCAAACTTAGTTGATGCATCTTGGGTCCTCAGAGAATGACTAGTGATAAGTAGGTCACCATGACCAACTCTCAGGTACTAACTGGCTTAGAATCATCTTGGTTCTCAGAGTGTTTCATCGAAATTGTAGGTCATGATGACCTACCTTTGGAATTTCAAGGCTTTATCTAAATATACAGGATACTTAGAGGCTTCAAATAGAAGTGATAGGTTGTACAGTTTATCAGAAGAGCGATTCAAGGCCCTTGGGCCTCTTGTTATTTTCCAGTTCATGCACTGTATTTTTCGTTAAATAGTCCTGTAATAGCAAGCAGGAAAGATATTTGACATTTATCATTAAGCCCTTTAATGGCACTTGTTTCAGTGCTTTTGTTATTTCAGTATTGCCACAGATCGGGAAGAAATCTGATGTAGATGGTTTTAATAAGATAGCAAAATGACGCCCCTTGTTGGAGGTGACGAAATTTCTTATTTTCATTATGGCATCAGTTCTGACGTTTTCTTGGCATGTTGAATATTAAAATTGTAAATAGGTAATTAAGATCTTTTGACAATTAAGGTGGTAAGAGAAGTTTTCTTTAAAGAAATAGTTCAGCTGGGTATTATTTGATTTATTTCTTTGATATTTAAACTTGCTCAATGATTTGGGGATTCACAAATTTTTGTCCAGAAACTTGGTTAGTTGCTACTTATGCAGAAGATAATAACAAAAATGGACAACTGTGAGAAGGAGGAAACTGAAATGATTTCAGAATGGCCAGTTACCATGGATACTGCACAAAAAGTTCTTGGTAATTTAAATTTCAGACAGTTTATAATAAAAAGTCATGAATTTTGTTGGAGTATCTTTAAAAAGTAGTTAGGTTTTTTAATTATCATTTTAAGTGTGTGCAAGTTAATTTCAAAAATTATATGCGGATTGCCCTTTTCAGATAGAGAGTTAAATTCAATTTAAACGTAAGTTACTGCAAATTAAATTTGAACCGCATTCACACTGAGAATTTAATGCAAATTAGTTTAATTCAAATTAATTTACTGCACATCAAATTACTTTGTAGTAGCTCCATGTGAACGCTAAGGGAAGCTAATTCAAATTAAATTCTGACACATACATAATAGCAAAATTAAGCCACCTGCCACATGTAGGTGGTCAGATATCGGTAATTATGCTATATTTTTAAATTAGAGAAAAACAAAGAAAAATTTTGTTTATCACTAAACATCTGTACAGACACTACAATATTATGTCAGTTGTAATCTGCTCTGCATAAGGTGACGTGATTTGCAAATGACATGATCCTCTTAATAGCCTTACTATATAGAAATAAAATTTTAATTTGTATAAGTTCACTTCACATTGGCTGTTGTGTGAATGCAATTTAATTTGCATTACTTTAATTTGCATTATTTTACTTCAAATTAATTAACTGCAAAATAAATGTTTAAAGCACATTCCTGGGAACAGGGCAATTGTATTTATACAACATAAAAATTAAAATGTAAAATAGAGACCCAAAATAGTAATGTACATCTTTTTTTCTCAGGAAAGAAGTCATCATCAAATCCTACAGAAGTGAAAAAGAGAAAGTTTGAAGAAAATGCTTCATTTTCTAAAATAAGGAAAGTACACAAATCAGAGGAACCTTTGGTGAAAATTGCGGTGGCTAAATGGTGGCGAAAACTGTCACAGGAAACCAAAAATGGCTACAGTGATCTTCTCCCCAGGAGCACCCATTCTGATACTCTGCTAGCCGCAATAATGAGGTCAGACCAAGCAGGATTTGGCAAATTAAAAAAGTTGTAGAAATAAAACAAATGTAAAAGAAATATGAAAGTCAAATAACAAAACCATACAGAATGAAATGTTTTAAACTAGTGACAATAACAGATACATCGTGATTAAGAAAATTAATGTATTTAGAAAGCAAGAGTACATGAATACATAATTATATTAGACCTTTTATTCTCAAAACCATGATCACAAGGGTTGGTTTGTTGTGTTTTATTTTAGGGGGTGGCAGTTATTATTATAAAACTTTTGCTTCTATGGCATTTATACACAGTATTACATAAAATATTTGGAGAAATGTGTAATGATATTGAAATATATATATGCCATGTACTTTGATTGCAGACTGGATGTTGCACAAGACTTCATGAAGTCTGAAGTTAAAAGATTAACAAACTCTCTGGAACACAGTGGCTCTTGTTCTAATCTCCACGCAGCTCTTGGTTCTTTTTATGAGAAACTTCAAAACTTTAGTGCTGCTAAAGAACACCTTGAGAAAGCAGTTTCTTTTGATGATGCGGGTAATTAATTTACTCTGTGAAATTAAAATTTTTTCGTTAGCTAAGGAGTTATTAAAATGTAAGAAGATGACAAAGAGTATAGAGTAGATGTATTGCTTTCACATTTACCATGGGTATTATCAGCTCCAAAATTAATGTTACAGGGACAATGAAATCTTTAATAGTGGATAGTCTTTAAAAAAAATACCGGTAATGTCCTGATACCCCTACAAAACAATTATGAAAGTTGACCAAAAAGTTTATTTTATGAATTAATTATTGAATATCAAAATTAACAAAAAGAGGGGTTAGATCTAACATTACATTGATAAAGTTACAAGGTTCATGTTTGTTCAAATCATTGCCCCCTGGGCATTATATATATATTATGAATTCAGATCTATTTACATGTAGCCTTGAAGTGATGTATACCAAATATATTGACATAACTTCAGATCAATTCTGGTATACACATAGCACAGGGATAGACATGAACCTTAATTCAGATCATTTACTTGCCCTTCCGACAAGTGGTCTCATACTTTAACTTGTCAGAATGCAATTAAACTTCCCAAAATGAAGAAAAAGGCCATGATTTATTACTGTAAATGTAATGATAAGAAAAAGTTTGACCAGATACACTACTGTCTTTTTGACAAGTTGAGATACCAGAAAAAAATTTCAATGTTACGTTTGTACATAAATGTATACAACTGTTCTTGTCAATTTAACCTGTAAACACACATGCAGCAATTACCCCCTTTCCTTTATTACAAAATTCAATATTTTTTAAAATTAATTTTTGGTAGGATCCTTTTGTGAATTTGATTTTCAGAGACAATTGGAACAAATGCTAAAGTAAGACAGTTTCTATAAAACATATATATCAATTTTGATCAGGTAACGTTACGTAAATTCTGTGAGTGAAAAATAATATAATTCCTAATCAGTAGGTAACAAAGTTGTTAGACGTTGGGCATATTAACCACAAAAAACAAAAAGAATAACAAACCCGATTTTTAAATGAAAGGTATAATCTAGGAATGCTACTGAGGGATTTTTGAATGCAAAGCAATGTCAGTCTTGTACCTGGCGGGAATCAAGTATTCAATTTATTGTTTTATTTACTAATGTAAACTAGATAACAATATACATTTCTATCAGGAAAAAAATCACTTGCCTGATCGAACAAGTACTTTGACAGTTTCACTTGCCCAAACTGATAATTTACTTGCCCTGCGCAATTGGACAACCGTTAATGTACATCCCTGTACCAATAACCAAAACAAAATTGTAAATGGGGTAATAAAAGATACTCTGAATTCTTCTTAGCTGCAGAGTACAAATGGCTTCTTGAGAAGATTAAAAAGCAGGTCAAAGTTCAACAGGAGCAAAGGTCAGCCATGACGAGGCTTCCATTCCCATTATCTGATTTGTCAATTCCAGTTTGTCTGAAAGTAAGTTCACTTCAAGTAGCTTAGATTGTCATTTAATGTAAAAGTGGTTATATTGAAAGGTTAAAAGTTTGATGATGCCAGTAATTTAGAAAAATGGTGAGTGGAAACTTTGACAGTCTACTAGTATTTAACAGTGCTCTTTAATAGGAATGTGAAAGTTGATGACTGAAAACTATATGACAACTATTTGTTGATTTCATCAACATTTCCACATCAACAAAGTTTCCACTTTTACAGTATTGCAGGGAGGCAATATTTGAAAAGCATATTAAAACTTTTTGTAAAATTATACATCAATGTCACCACCTAAAAGATAAATTTAGAGTCAGAAGATGATTTTTTTTTTGTCACCTGTGTCATCAAGTGACCTTTTGCTGCTTTCATCCATTGATGCATGCCATCCATTAACATTTGAACATTTTCAGCTTCTCCTCTGGAACCACTGAACCACTTTCAACCAATTTTGGTATACTGTAAATGTTTTACATTTGACTAAGTATTCTTTTTAGCACCTTTGGTGTAAAGCAACTTCCACTAATTTAAGTACAACACTAAATGTCTTGCACATATACACATAAATAAGAACATTAAGAAATGCACTAAATCAAATCTACTCTAACTTGTTCAAAAATCAATTTTTACCAAATATTGTTCACACTTAATATAATACATTTTCAGTATAGCATCTATGGGCAGAGGGGAACAAAAATTACGAATTTCATGGTCTCTTCCCCCCTGGGTTGCGAGGGATGGGGCCAAAACCATAAAAATTAATGCAATCTTCAAAATTTTCTTTACTGGGGCGTGCCGCCATGACATCAAGCAGTCAAACTGTTGATATGATTAAAATAAGCATTTGGCTCTTTATCAAAACTGTGAAGTTCATGACCCCAGGGCCAGGGGTTCTGGTGTTAAGATGGGACTCTGTATATCATATAGTGAAAATGCAAACATTCTTTAAAAATCTCTCCCTCTGTATATAAAGCATGATTATGATGAGCAAAGGTGCATCTTCCAAAATATTGAAATTCATGACCACAGGGTCAGGGGTTCTGGAGTTAGGGCGAGGCTCTATTGATCATATAGTGAAAATGCATTAATTCTTTTAAAATCTTCTCTCTGCTCTTGGGTAGTAAGTAGATAAACTAAGTGCATGGTTATGATGAGCAAGAATGCCTCTTCCAAAATTATGAAACTCATGGCCTCTCAGTGCTCTTGGGTAGTAAACAGACAAAATAAGTGCATGGCTATGATGAGCAAGGATGCCTCTTCTAAAATTGTGAAATTCATTGCCCCTGGGTTAGGGGTTCTGGTGTTAGGATGAGGCTATATTGATCATATTGTCAAAATACATTAATTCTTAGAAAATCTTCCCTGTTTCAGGGTATCTATCAGAAGAATTATGTGCAAAGTAAAGATGAGCAAGGGTGCCTCTTTTGAAATACATGGCCATAGGTCAGGAGTTCTGATTGTACTGGTCCTGGAGGTGCTAGACACAAATTGCCCTGCCACCTCTGATTACATAGTACACTGTCGTGACGTGTACAGCTCCTCACTCTATTTCTCTATCTGCTTGGACAGACACGATTCTGACAGCTCCATTATTGTATACGATTGTGTTTTAATATTGTAATTGCGGGCACTGAAATAAACTATGTATTATTTTAGCATAGTGTTTCTCTGTTTCTACCTTCACCGCACATAGGTATTGGTTAACATAGAAGAAATCTATTTGATGTTGAGGGGGGCTCTATTGATCATACTAACTCAGTGAAAATGCAGTAAGTCTTAGAAAATCTTCTTTTCTGTTCCCTGGCATTAAGCAGACAAACTAAGTGCATGATTATGATGAGCAAGGGTGTCTCTTTCAAATGTGTGAAATACATGGGTCAGGATTTCTGGTGTTAGGGTAGGGCAGTGAAAAAGTGTTAATTCTTAGAAAATCTTTTTCTCTACTCCTGAGTATTTAACAAACAAACTAAATGCATGGTTATGAGCAAGGATGCCTCTTCCAAAATTTGGAAATTCATGGCCTTAGGGTCAGGGATTCTGTTGTTAGGGTGGTGCTCTATTGATCTTGTATAGTGAAAAAGCAGTAATTCTGTTAAAATCTTCCTATCTGCTATTGGACATCTAGGAAGCAAACAGAGTACAAAGTTGTACACTATGGTGCTTTTACCAGCTTTGTGAAATTCTTGACCACTGGAATCAGGGGTTCTGATGCTGGATGGGATTCTATTGATCATTTAGGGATTTTTGTACTCTTTCATTTCCCTTTGTTCTCCTTATAAATGAATAAATGAATTATACTACAATTTATGTATAATACAAAAAGTACTTTTGTAATTTTTAATGGTGGAAGACTTGTAAATCATAGGCAAAAATGGCGGACGATTTTGCTATGTTATAAATGTAATTCATTATAGCCATTAAAATCACAAAATATTTAAATAATTTTAGAGCCACAGGGAATGAAAATCACTTTGCTCTAAGCGTCAATTCATTATAAACGTGTTCGCTATACACGTTTTACTGTATTTATTGATGTAAGTCATATTCTTCTAGTGAATATTTACTTTCACCAAAGTGTCATTCAAATTTTTCAGTGTGTTGGTTTATTTTATAAAAAACTAAATCAGCTATGAGTAATAGTTATTCAGATGGTTCACATATTAATGATTTGTAGATAAAAGTTGATTTACAATAAGTTATGATGAAGACAGACATTTTTATTTACTGTCTGATAATTTAACCTAATTTTTAGGTTGATAGAGTTTCAGCTACAGACTTAACAGCAGAGAGATTTTATGAAGATTACTCATCGAAACACAAACCAGTCATTATCACAGATATAAATGTCACAGACACTCCCTGGACTCTACAGTCTATCAAAAATTTCACTGGTAAATATTTTCCTTTTTTCTTTTGTACATAATGTTTGCATAATCATACAAAAGTATTGGCTGTTGTCACAATGAATTCCAGTGTACAGTACTAAAGTTACATTATATTTAAAGGTGACATTGCTGTTACGTTGAAACATTCAGTTAAGAATTCTTCTGAGTGGGCCAGTCTTGAGAACAAAGAGATGACAACTGTGTCAGAATATATAAACAGGATAGAGGGACTGCCAGAGAGCAGGCAGTGTGAGGGGTACCTGTTTGACTGGAGCTTACCCATCCATTGTCCAAGTCTTGTAGAGAAACTGAAGATTCCTAGGTATTTTGCTGGTAAGAAATCACTGTGCATGATAACAAATACATGTATTGTGTAAAACTAAGACACCAGCAGGCATGCTTATGAAAATTTTCTAAGATATGTCTTTAAGATGTGTCTTAGGATATTTCTTAGAATATATTTTAGAACGACATGTATCTTAGATACATCTTAGGGTGTAAAACAAAAGTGTCTAACTCTTAGGATTATCCAGAGTTAAGATGTTGTACATTTCATCCTAGGCCTTTTTTTTCTAAACAAATATGATGTGTAGTTTGTAATTTACATGTACAAGTAAACGAAAAGTTTCCAATGTCCATATTGCATTATATTACAGATTTCTATTATAATATTTAGTGATTTAATTCATTTATTCCCACTTACATACACTGTCATATAACAGAGATGTCTACAATATAGCAGGAAATAAACAAACAACAAGAAAGCAAAACAATATATATGTATTCATAGATATTTGTGTTTTGGATAAATAATTTAGAAGAAAAATTTTTAAGGAGGAATGAAACTCAGCTATAGTGACATATTCTCTTTTGAAGAAACAATAAAATAAACTGTATACTTATGTACTGTTATAATAGTATAATATTTATCATCCTCAAATAGAAACCAAGGAATATTAGGAATTATGTCCTAAGTCCATCCTAAGATGTACCAGTACATGTATCTTTGTCCAAGATAGCTTCATAAGCATGCCTGCAGATTCTTTAAACATGATACTTATTTTTTTTTTTTTTACATGAATTTAAAAAATAAAAATGTACTTAGATTTCAACATCATGTATAATTTTTATTCAAAATGGTAATCAGAAATTGCTATTAAATCAAACCTTTAGACAATTTAATACCATGTGGCGGGGTACCAATTTTGGCTTATTTTAGTAATTTGGTAGAAGCCAGCAAAAATTTTAATTGCTAAATTTTCGCTTTTGTGTGTAAGTACTGAACACAAAAAAAATAACTTTGATCTGGCTGTTTACATGTTAACACTATACTCTCGGAACTCTTTTGTAAATTGGTAAAAACGTACCGAAGACTCAGCTGGAATATATATCTACATATCTAAGGTACCCATCTAAGGTACCTTAAGCAGTCTTTTGTTTAGCAGTACCAAATTATTTTACTGGTTTGCAACTTCATGGAGTCCAGTGTCTGCCCAAAAAAATGTTCTGCCAAAATCATTGGCATTCCTTTAAGCAAGCACATCACCAAATTTTACACCTGCTATACAGTACTACTCTTAAGGTGATGGTTCACTCATGTACACAGTTCACTCATGTACACAGTAGATGACAATATTTTCTGTCCATGTATTGACAAAATTTATACTTCTGTTTTGGTGAACAGGTGACTTTTTACAGAGGACCTCTGAGGGGAGTTTATACAGAGACAGCTGGCCCAGTCTGTTTGTGGCCCCAGCAGGTCTCTGCAGTGAGCTCCATGTTGATGCCTTTGGGTCTAACTTCTGGATGGCAGTGTTTCAAGGGTCCAAGAGGTAATTCCTAATTGTAAATTACATGTATTGCTCATTAGGTTTGTTCATTATAAACACAAGGTGCTGAAGAAATGTTAGTATTACCTTCTTTAAAAATACTTTTTCCAATTAGTTTGTTTTACTGTTGCATGTGTGTATAATGTACATTATGGGTAATTTGTCAAGGAGATTTTGGAATGTGATTCCTTTAACTTGTATGTTCTGTCTCAACTCTAATTCTTTGCTGAGAAAAATCAAACACTATTCATTGAATGAAAATATCACAGATGAAAACAAGCTATCCTACTATTTATGTAAAAAGTTAATAAATTTGAAAATTGTTAAGAGAAATTGTTTCAAAAAATATCTTATTTAGGACATTCCTAATTTTTGGAAGACTTATCAAACACAGCAAAGGTACAATATTTTTTACGAATGAGCTCAAGTTAATATTTCCTAGAATGGAAAGAAATGTGTCATTATAAAAGGCATATATTATGGTATTGTTGGTGGATTGATGTTTCCTGTTAACTGCTAATGTTTGCTGGGTACATTTTATTTCAGTATTTCACAAATTACTGGATACAAAGTGCTGGATACATCTTATTTCAGTATTTCACAAATTACTGGATACAAATTTAGAGCTGGATACATTTTATTTAAGTATTTCACAAAGTAGTGGATACAAAGGGCTAGATACATTTTATTTAGGTATAGTACATACATTGTTAATAAAGTAGACCTTGGTTTGTAGATGGGTATTTTTCCCACGGTCTGATCTGCCCCTCCTTTACCCTCAGTACCCCAATAGTATGGACCCTGTATTTGATGCAGACATCACAAACCCTGACCTGAAAAAGCAGCCACTATTAAGTCTGACACACCCCTCAGAATGTGTCCTGTCTGAAGGTGAGTCTAGCATTGTGTGTCCTGTCTGAAGGTGAGTCTAGCATTGTGTGTCCTGTCTGAAGGTGAGTCTAGCATTGTGTGTCCTGTCTGAAGGTGAGTTTAACATTGTCTGTCCTGTCTGAAGGTGAGTCTAGTAATGTCTGTTCTGTTTGAAGGTGAGTCTAGCATTGTCTGTCCTGTCTGAAGGTGAGTCTAGCATTGTGTGTCCTGTCTGAAGGTGAGTCTAGCATTGTCTGAACAGCAACAACTAGGAAAGTCATTAGAACCAAATTTTACCAGATGGTTTGCCTAATTGAAATCATTATAAATCTATATACTGACATGTCAACATGTACTTTAATTTAAACAATGTTTGTGGCTGCTTTCTTTTGCAGTTGTTCATACAGTACTCATATATTTAATAGTTTTATTTCACATCTCATATCGAAGTTTTCTTTTCTGTCAAGACTGAAAGTTTAATTGTTCACAGGGATGAACTTTCATGTAACTTTTGCCCTCCATCAATGTTATTCATTTTGACTGCCACATTCAAACAGTGTTTAACTTCTACTCAAGAGTGATTTTAAGTTTTATTCATTTTTAGGTCACCTGAGTCACTCACACTATTGCTATCTGTTTTTGTCCCTCATTGTGCAGGTGTGTGTCGTGCGTAAACTTTTCACATTTTCAATTTCTTCCCAAGAACCAGTGGGCCAATTTTCATCAAACTTGCCACAAAGTATCCTTAGGTAATGGTGATTCAAGTTTCTTTAAATGAAGGGCCACACCTTCTTCCAAGGGGAGATAATTAAGAATTAGTCAAAAATTAATAGTATCTTTTAAAAATCTTCTTCTCCAGAACCACTGGACCAGGTAAGATGAAACTTATATGGAAACATCCTCAGGTAGTGTAGATTCAAATTTATTCAAATCGGGTAGAGTGGGGCCACAATGGACATTCAAAGTTTTACATAGAAATACACAGAAAAAATATTTAAAAATCTTGTTCTCCAGAACCACAGGGCCAAAAAAGATGAAACTTATGTGGAAACATCCTCAGGTAGTGTAGATTCAAAAGTATTCAAATCGTGACCCCCAGGGGTAGGGCGGGTCCACAATAGATGATCAAAGTTTTACATGGGAATACACTGGAAAAATCTTCTTCTCCAGAACCACTGGGCCAAGAAAGATGAAACTTAAGTGGAAACATCTTGAGGTAATGTAGATTCAAATTTGTTAAAATCATGATCCCCAGGGTAGGATGGGACCACAATGAATGATCAAAGTTTTACATGGGAATATATTGGAAAAATCTTCTTCTCCAGAGCCACTGGGCCAAGAAAGATGAAACTTATGTGGAAACATCTTCAGGTAATGTAGATTTAAATTTGTTAAAATCATGATTCCCAGGGGTAGGATGGGACCATAATGGACAATGAAAGTTTTACATTGGAATACATAGGAAAAATCTTGAAAAATTCTTTTCTCAAGAACAGCAAAGCCATGATTGGTTATATTTAATACATGGAAACATCCTCAGGTAATATAGATTCAAGTTTGTTCAAATCATGACTCTGGGGATAGGGTGGGGCCACAATGGACGATCAAAGATTTACAAAAGCTTCTTCTATCAGTTTATTTTGTTCTCTATGGATCCTCTATGGATTGTTGTTTTATACTCAGGTGACCGTTAAGGTCCTTGGGCCTCTTGTTTTTTATTGTGTGTGTGTGTGTCTCCTGTACTAAACACAATTTTAATTTCAGGAGAAGTTCTATTTGTTCCAGCAGGATGTCCTCACCGTGTGGAAAATCTGACAACGACAGTTGCCATTTCTGCCAACTTTGTGGATTTGTCCAATTGGAAAACTGTCTCAGAGGAACTAGAATTAAATGCAATTATTGACCCCAGGTCTCAGGATTTACTAGAACAGTTCAAGTCCAGTGCTTTTGATAACACAATGAAATTTTATAACAAAGAAGTCCCATGGTCAGAATTTAAAAACCAACAGTTTCCCAGTTAGGAGAAAGCCATTGACATGATTGCATTTAACTTTTATAAGGGACATAACTTTTGATTGGTTAAAATGTTGCTAATTATAATTATGACAATATTTTGCTCTTTTTATAGGAAGTAAAGAAAATTGTATATCTTATTTTTTGCTGTCATCTTTTATTTATGATGATAAAATTTCAGTTTAAGATATCTGTTTTAGAACAGAACATTTTTCACTAGACTCTTTCACAGATTGATGATATCATAATAATTATGTACTTGGAGGGACCAAAAGCAAACCCCTCCCTTTCTGATATTAATTTCCATTGCATCTAAGTCTGAGTTACCACTTCTAGTAAATTGAGTTATTTTATATAAACCATTAATAAGTCAAAGATTGTTTGGGTATTTTTACCTGAATTGGATACAGAGAAAAAGTGGATATTTTTTTAACTTATTTGTGTGCAGTTTAACAGATATTTATTCTAAAAGTGAATTATAGGGAGTATAAATGGTAAAATTTAGTTATCATAATTTAGAAATAATTCCGAACATAGAAATAACCATGTCTAATTTGATTCAATCATTGAGGGGGAAGGCAGCCACCTGTAGAAGAAAATGAAGATGTTGAAAGTCTTGTGCATTTTTATGCAAGAACATGTGACTTATTTTATGAATGTTTGTTTTAAAATTCCTCTTTCACAGCCCCAGTGAGACACTGTCAGCAAAATAGACAATAAAGTACAAAACTTTGGGGGAAAGCATACTGGTTAGTCTGTATGAATTACATCAAGCCTTGTGTGCAAAATAATGTCCGTTTTTTTATTTTTACAATGTCCATTTTAGTGCAAGTGTTTGTAGTACATGTATTAAAAAGTGGAGCTCCATTTTATAATAGTCTGCAAACATATGATTTTTTTTTAATAAAACATATTCTTCATTATTTGGGGGTTATTCAACACATTGTAAATGTGCACTAGAAAAATAGATGGGGGGGTGGGGGGCAAATAGGAAATACTTGGGGTCAAGGTGTATAGAACCCATATCCACAAACACCTGTTGTGTAGGGAACAAATACTGATGTTTTTTTTAATGCCCCACCATGAAGATGGCCAGGGCATATAGAGTTTGTCATGTCTGTCTTCCATCCTTCCGTCTTTCTGTCCTTCCGTCACGCTTTGCATTTAGCTTAGTTCAAAGCTCAGTTTCAAAGAAACTATTCAAGATATTTTTATTAAACTTCATATGATGATAAAAGACCAGCTAAAAGAAACATACTCAATACAAGATAAAGAAGTTAAGAAAAGTGCAAGAAGGGACAAGAGGGATTATGTTGACAAGCTTGCACAAGATGCAGAAGATGCTGCCTCAAAACAAGACATGGGGACCTTATATCGCATCACAAAAACTCTTAGTGGAGGATTCAAAAGCACAGATACACCAGTGCGAAAACAAGATGGAGAATTGGCCTCCAGTATAGAAGAAGAGCTTACCTGTTGGAAAAATCATTTTGAAAGAGTATTAAACCAGGAATGTCCATCAACAGAACAAGCTGAAATACGTGAAGGTTTAGACACTTTGGACATTGATACCAACGTACCAACAATAGAGGAAGTAAAACATGCCATCAACTTCTTAGGAATGGGAAAGCCCCAGGCATCGATCAGGTACATGCAGAAATGTTAAAAGCCGAGGAAGTATTAACACCCAGACTTCTCACAGATATCCTGCAAACTATTTGGCAGACAGAAACAGCACCAAATGATTGGAAGGTTGGTCTCGTAGTGAAGCTGCCCAAGAAAGGTGACTTAGCAGACACAAATAATTGGAGAGGAATTATGTTGCTGTCAGTGACCAGCAAAGTCTTAAGCAGAGTCATCTTAAACAGAATGGCCTCAGTGGTAGACCCATACCTTCGTAAAGAACATGCTGGATTCAGAAAAGGAAAATCATGCACAGACCAGATATTTTCCTTGAGGCAAATTTTGGAACAGAGCAATGAATTGAACGCAATGCTGTATGCCAATTTCATCGACTTTGTTTTGTAAACAAAACAAAGTTAATGAAGATAAATACAAAAATAGAAAAGGAAGTTACAGCGAACAACAACAGAATAGAAGAAGTAGACAATTTTATATACCTTGGCAGCAAGATCACAGCCAATGGAGATTCCACCTTGGATGTTGAAAATAGAAATGCAAAAGCCCGTACCGCCTTTGCCAACTTAGGGAACATCTGGAAATCTTCAACTATCAGAACCAAAACAAAAATAAAGATATTTAAAACAAATGTCATTGGAGTCCTCCTATATGGATCTGAGTCCTGGAAGGTGACAAACAACATCACTCAAAAACTAGACACCTTCCAAACAAGATGTCTCCGTAGAATACTTAAGATATTCTGGCTGAACAAGATCAGTAATGAGGAGCTGTATGAAAGAACACAAACCGCTGCCATATCTGACCAGATTAAAGAGAAACGATGGAAATGGATTGGCCATGTCTTGAGAAAGGAAACATCAGATATACCGAGGGTAGCCTTAAGATGGACTCCACCAGGGAAACGAAACAGAGGGCGACCAAAGGAGACATGGCGGCGGTCAGTAGAAAAAGAAATGAAAGAACAGGGGTGGACTTGGGGCAAGGTACAGCAGATGTCAGTGGACAGACAGAGATGGAGGTCCTCGGTGCAGGCCTTATGTGCTCAAAGCACGAAGAGGACTAGGTAAGTAAGTCATATGATGATACATATTGATGAGAGTTATTCAACTGCATCAACATTTTTTTATCGTGACCTTTTCTTTGACCTTGACCTCAATTTTCTTAAATTAATGTTTAGCTCAGTTTTAAAGAAACTATTCAAGATAGTGTTATCAAACTTCATATACTGATACATACTAGTCTGAAGTAAGCTATTCAACAGCATTACTTTGACCTTGACCCTCTTACCAAAATTGGAATAAACTTATTTTTTCTAGAGTATTTTTTTTCTCACGAGAAACTTACCTATCAAGATCTCACGAAAGATATCTTCTTAAAACCTTTAATGGTTGTCATCAAGATCCATTTGTACATTTCCTATGACCCCCCCCCCCCTTTGGGAAAAGTTGGATCCCAGTTTTTGTTCCTGTCAACAGGTCAAGGGGTGGAATTATATATTGATATCAAATACTAGTATCATGAGTATAAAAGTATTAAAACAACAGACAAGAAAACACTAAAGAGTTTTTCTTTTTTTTTAAATAATCTAGGGAGAAATGTGCCTCCAATTTTTCTTATCCTTTGTAAAACATAGGACAAATTTAAAACAACCAAAACATGTGCAGATCTAGAGGGGAGGGGGTATGGAACCCCCCCCCCCCCTGGAATTTGCAGAGTTATTTTAAATATATTCTGAAGCAAATAAAAAATGACTCTGGACCCACCCACCCACTCCCGGAAAACGTGGACACCACCATCACGAAATAGGTTTTTTCACGTTTGGGAAAGGGATTTTAGTTTGTTTGTTTTTTTTAATTTTTTGTTTGTTTGCTTGTTTTCTGTTGTTTGTGTGTTTGTTTTTAGGTCTACTGGTCAAAGATCAGAAGAGCTTATGCGATAGTAAAGTGTCCGTCATCCGTCTGTCTGTCTAGCTGTCCGTCCGTCTGTAAACAGTTTTTCAAAACGCTTCTCCTACAGTTTTGGTCTGATTTCAGTATAACTTGGCATATAAGTAGACTACACTAAGATACATAATTCTGTTTATGGGGTTTTGATTTCAATGAACGGTGTTGCCATGGTTACTAAAAATAGGGATTTCTTGGAAATACTTTCAAAATGCTACTCCTCCTACAGCTTTGGTCTGATATCAATATAACTTGGCACACAAGTAGACTATAATAAGATACATCATTCTGTTTATCGATTTTTGATTTCAATGGACGGTGTTGCCATGGTTACTAAAAATCAAGATTTCTTGGAAATACTTTCAAAATGCTACCCCTCCTACAGTTTTGGTCTGATTTCAGTATAACTTGGCATACAATTAGACTACTCTAAGATATGTAAACGTTGATTTTAATAACAACAAAGACTGGGTTCAATTTATATATTGTATATTCCATATGTACAGGTCATGTTATGTGTAGTTCTGTAAATAAAATATTTAACAAATAATTCACAGACAAACAAACATACACAAACATCACACAAAACACTGAATTTTCTGGCTAAGGGAAATAACTCCATTTTCCTCATAACTTTAAGGATCATCATAAAATAATCATTTCAAGCATTATATTATGCAATTCATTATCATAAAATAATTTACTTTTCACTATAAACATATCCATTCATAGTATTCAAATGAAATTCTATTTACAACACAAATAGACATCACAATATACACAAACTTCACTAAACACAAAGCTTACCAAATATATGGTATATGAACCTGATCTTCTTGATTCTTAATTTCTCAGTCAGTCATAACTATAATAAATTATCACATAAAGTAAGTCTGACTGATTATTGGCAAAATATATTTAAAACTCATAAAAAATAATATTTTACAGAAATCTCATTCACATAACTTTCATACATCATGCTCATAATTAATAATGTTAAAATGTTAATAAACTGACCTGTTTAGTATATTTAAATTGTCCATATAAAGTCCATAGGTCTGGTATACAAATTGTCAGTAAATCATTTTGGAGTCAGTAAAAATACACTGCTCACTCTAAGGATCTTTTTTGAATGTCTAAAAAAATTACTACAATAGTGAGCTTCTCACCAGAGTAGCCAATAAAATACCTGGGTTCACCCATGCATGAATAGCATGCTTGACTTAATGGGACACACTATGGAAAAGCCTTAGTGTAATAAATATATACAAACGCTCTTACTTATAACTATTTAAAGTATGGAAATACATTATGGACAAAAATTAAAAACAATGCTGTATTTTTATTAGATAATATCTTTATTAATAAAAACACGCGGTCACAGATACATATAAATTCTTTGTATTGGTTTTTGATTTCGATGAGCAGTGTTGCCATGGTTACTAAAAATAGAAATTTTTCTTGAAATACTTTCAAAACGCTACTCCTCCTACACTTTTTGTCTGATTTCAAGTAGACTACACTAATGTACTGTATTTTCGGGTTGTTCGGCAAAAATCGGGTGAAAAGCATGACCCGCAGTGTCATAAAAAATAATCGGGTTAAGGGTCGAAAAATCGGGTGTAACCTTACGAAATCGAGTGAGTTGGCAACTATGAATACATAATTGTCATTATTGTTTGTTGAATGATGTTGCCATGGTTACTTAAATAGAATTTTTGTAAAATTGTTTTAAAAGGCTACTCCTCCTACAGTTTTAGTCCGATTGCAATAAACCTTGCCACACCAAGGATCATTATTCTATTTATTGCTGTTGCAAAGTTTGAAGTCCAAGTGATACTTTTATCTTCCTTTATAAGTACAACCAGTAGAGCTACAGTCTCGTTAGAGACTTTTTTTGGCTGCAATTTTTTTTCGACTGGGGTGGACTCCCCCCCCCCCCCCCCCCCCGGAAAAAAATCCTGGATCCGCGCCTGCAAAGTCACCAAATCGTATACCGTTGATTAACAATCAAACTATGGAATAAGGTTTCAGGATTATAGCTTTCATATGTAAGCTACGGAGGCATCTTCTGTGATTCTGTGCCCCATCGTGTACCCTGTGTTCAAGAGACAAAATTCAGTCCGAGTTATCTAGTAAGCAACGCATCCGCAGTAGACAAGCATCAAAATGGAAAAGGATGTAGATGTACTTGGCAAATACAGATTAGTGTCTAATAAATTAAAAAAGTAAGTACAATCATGCTACAAATAAGTATATTCCTATCTGTTAATATGTGGACACGAAAAAAAGATAGGATTGTTGGCAAATGGTATCAAACACAGAGGAAATTCAAACTGAAACTGTTTAAATAAACTATACATGTATTCTAAGATAAATTACGCAAAAAATATCTTTTCAGGCGTTTTCTAAAGAGACCAAATGTGGCTGAAGGAATTGAACAGTACTGTAAGTATAGAGTGCCGCTGACATTTGCTTTCCCGAAGCCTCGAAAGTACACCCACTTCAGATTAATTTTTATTTATGTGTCTGTTATGAGAATTAATTCACACATATATCCGTGATATATTCCAGCTGTCTTATCGAAGTCGTTAAAGGAACAAGAATGTCAACAATATGCTGCCTTTTGTGCTCTTGCGCAAGCAAGGTATGATTTAACATATTTAATTACATTACGATATCTTCATTTTGTAAAGAAAATTTATTGTAATTTGTTTCTATCCCCTTCATAGATTTGTCAGTTTGTCTTTCAATGATACATTCTTGCTTTGCTTATCCTCCATTTTAAGAGGTTGCCAAAAAAATTCTTTTTATGCCCCGCCATGAATATGGCCGGGGCATATAGTGTTTGTCATGTCCATCTTCCATCCTTCCGTCCTTCTGTCCTTCCGTCCTTCCGTCTGTCCTTCCGTCACACTTTGCGTTTAGCTCTGTTCAAAGCTCAGTTTCAAAGAAACTATCCAAGATATTTTTATCAAACTTCATATGCTGATAGATATTGATGAGGGCTATGCAACTGCATCAACATTTTTTGACCTTGACCTTTCCTTTGACCTTGACCTCACTTTTCTTAAATTAGTGTTTAGCTCAGTTTTAAAGATACCATTCAAGATAGTGTAATGAAACTTCATATGTTGATACCTACTGACGTAAGCTATTCAACTGCATCAACATTTTTTGACCTTGACCTTTCTTTTGACCTTGACCTCACTTTTCTTAAATTGGTGTTTAGCTCAGTTTTAAAGATACCATTCAAGATAGTGTAATCAAACTTCATATGTTGATACATACTGATGTATGCTATTCAATTGCATCAACATTTTTTTGACCTTGACCTTTCTTTTGACCTTGACCTCACTTTCCTTAAATTAGTGTTAAGCTCAGTTTTAATGAAACCATTCAAGATATTTTTAACAAACTTCATATCCTGATACATACTGATGTAACCTTTTCAACTGCTCATTTTTAAAGAAACCATTCATAATATTTTCATCAAACTTTATATGCTTATACATACTGATGTAACCTTTTCAACTGCATCAACATTTTTTGACCTTGACCTTTCCTCTGACCTTGACCTCACTTTTCTTAAATTAGTGTCAAACTTCATATGCTGATACATACCGATGAGAGCTATTCAACTGCATCAATGTTTTTTGACCTTTACTTTTCCTTTGACCTTGACCTCACTTTTCTCAATTTGTGTTAAAATGTTGCATTACTAATACACCCTCGGCGGGGCATTCATGTCCTATGGACATATTTCTAGTTTGCAAATGATTTGCCTGGTAGATACACAATATCGTTAAGTTTTTAGCACAGAAGAGTTTTACAACTATCCTTCCTGAGTGTAGCTAATTAACATTACACAGTTCTCAGAATCAGGTGCGAGATAGTAAACATGTAAGAGAAATTAGATCGTAGGAAATGCATTCAATCTTAAAATTGAAAAAGTTTGAAAACTGATATTAGTCAATATATAGAGACATGTCCATAGTTAAATTTTAAACTTCTTTTCTGCTTTTTATTAAAAAAAATTGAAAATGTTGATAGTTCAGTAATTTAATGATCACCAGGTCAATTTAAAATGGTCGCCAATTTGGTGACTTATAGAAAAATTTTAGGCGCCAATCATAATTAAATAAGTCGCCAATTAGAGCCCTGTTTAGTTTGTAATGTTTTGGGGTTATGATGGTATGTGGAGCACGTGCTAATTTGCATAAACAGCAAAGTTGATTATATTTAAATATGTTACTCGTACACTTTCAGGAGTGTGACATTCACAACAAAGGATTTTCACACCAAAAGCATCTGTAACCTAATAGAAACATAAACATGATGAGCCCTTGAGTTCATCACTTTCAACATTAGTTATTGTAAATATTTGTACATAGTCCACATGTCATCTTAAAGGCTCTTGTTGCACACAGGTGTGAGCACACTATGGTCAATGCTGCTGGTGAATCCCAGTCCCTGACGGAGGCTGCTCGTAACTTTCTAGAGGCAGAGATAGCCAATCAGGAGCTGAAGTGTGCGAGTTTTAATGAACATCTCACTGCAGCCATTAATTGTTACAGTCATGCAATCAGGGTAAGATAAGTAATCATTAAAACTGTCAAAAGAAAAAAAAAGTTTTAACTGCTTCTTATCGTACTATCACTTTATTTGTAAATATCACAACACTAGGGCTGATATCATTTAGATATTTACCCTTATATCTTACACTTTAGGTTCATATAGAGAATAACAGTGCAGCACTGGCAGCTGCCTTGTGTATAGAGCTTGGGAATGCATTAAAGGTATGAACTTTTATTACAGAGGCTGTTTTTATTTCATACAGCTGTGAGCTTACCATTGTCAGTTGGACGTGCAAATCAAAAATAATTTTAAATTTGATAAACATGTAATTCACACTTCTTTCATCTTTGCAATGTTTTGTCTTCCAAAAACAATGTTAATTTTTTTTCAGAAGTTAAATAAACCAGGAGAAGCCATGGCTCATTTTCAGAGAGCAGCAGAACTACAATCACATGTAATTATCATAACATGTCATTTATGTGGTTGTCCAAAAAATATTCACATCATACATATTTGGTATTGTACTTTGAATGAAATCACAAAAAGCTACAAATCCGGAGATTTTAATGCCACACGTATCATTTTAGTGTTTCAAGTGTTTTGAGTCGCAGTAATCATCTATTACACAGTATTTTGAGAATAAGTCGGTAAAGAGAAAATAGGAAACATTCAAATTTTGTGTAATTGTTATGCAATCATTGCTGATGTTGTAATCTTTAAGAGAATTTCAGCTTAATAAAGAAAAGGAATGATATATATAAGTTTTATATATTTACTTGTTTTGTAGAGTCCACTTGATTGTCTACAGTCATTAAGTGAAGTAACTTCATGTAAAATTGCTATCAGTAAGTATTTTATTTTCTCTCTTGATCATCATAAACTAATATGTGCATGTGATCTGTGAACAAATTATTAATGTATTAGCATTTAAATTTTTAGAAGACTACGATGGGGCACTGAGTGTTCTGACAGAAATGGCTTACCTAGCACAGGAAAGGGGAGGTTAGTCAGAAATGATGACTAGATTTCTTTTGTGTCCATCCTTATATATGAGTATCATACAAATAAAACATTGTATCTTTGTTGGCAGGCTCCTCCATTACAGGAAGGCCTGTAGGAGCGTACTGTGATTTCTTATGTCACTGTGAAGTATCCCGAGTCCTATTGTTGATGATGCTACAGGTGTGTACAAAAAAATGTACAGTAATAAGGAATCAGTAAGGAATTAGTAAAAAAGGTACACCAAAGTTCCTCTATTACTTTGGTGAATATAGTTGTGTAATTCTGTACAATATTTTTCTTGTACTGTTTATCTTTGTGGTGCAGCTGCTGTGTTTAACTGTAGAACTTCAATTGTCACAATGTAAGGAAGACTGTACTACAGGAATAAATAGAAAATTTGAATTATTTTGGTTTGTACATCATGTATCTATATTTCAGCCAACACCTCAAAGAATAAGACCTGAACATGCTCAAACATTAGAGAAATACACCTGGGATTTTAATGAAGACAATTCAACAGGTATACTACAGATATTATTAATGGTGGAGTTTACATTAGACAGGAGTAATGTTCTTAATGCATTGTCAGTTACTCTCACTTGTATTTGGGGATAGATAGTCATTTGTAAATCTATTTAAGTTGTACGTGTACATTCTAAGTACTGTAAAGTTAAATGCTTTCTACTCACAGGATAAAATCATGTTTGATTTATTTCTGTTTTTAGTGCAATATCTTGGAGAAGACCTATTTCTTATGTTACAGTCTGTTGTGGTAAGTACTCGTAACATATAGAATCTTGACTAAGGGATACATGTATTCAAGATAACAGAGTAATGTAATGAGCATACTGTTGTGGTAAGTACTCGTAACATATAGAACCTTGACTAAGGGATACATGTATTCAAGATAACAGAGTAATGTAATGAGCATACTGTTGTGGTAAGTACTCGTAACATATAGAACCTTGACTAAGGGATACATGTATTCAAGATAACAGAGTAATGTAATGAGCATACTGTTGTGGTAAGTACTCGTAACATATAGAACCTTGACTAAGGGATACATGTATTCAAGATAACAGAGTAATGTAATGAGCATACTGTTGTGGTAAGTACTCATAACATATAGAACCTTGACTAAGGGATACATGTATTCAAGATAACAGAGTAATGTAATGAGCATACTGTTGTGGTAAGTACTCGTAACATATAGAACCTTGACTAAGGGATACATGTATTCAAGATAACAGAGTAATGTAATGAGCATACTGTTGTGGTAAGTACTCGTAACATATAGAACCTTGACTAAGGGATACATGTATTCAAGATAACAGAGTAATGTAATGAGCATACTGTTGTGGTAAGTACTCGTAACATATAGAACCTTGACTAAGGGATACATGTATTCAAGATAACAGAGTAATGTAATGAGCATACTGTTGTGGTAAGTACTCGTAACATATAGAACCTTGACTAAGGGATACATGTATTCAAGATAACAGAGTAATGTAATGAGCATACTGTTGTGGTAAGTACTCGTAACATATAGAACCTTGACTAAGGGATACATGTATTCAAGATAACAGAGTAATGTAATGAGCATACTGTTGTGGTAAGTACTCGTAACATATAGAACCTTGACTAAGGGATACATGTATTCAAGATAACAGAGTAATGTAATGAGCATACTGTTGTGGTAAGTACTCGTAACATATAGAACCTTGACTAAGGGATACATGTATTCAAGATAACAGAGTAATGTAATGAGCATACTGTTGTGGTAAGTACTCGTAACATATAGAACCTTGACTAAGGGATACATGTATTCAAGATAACAGAGTATTGTAATGAGCATACTGTTGTGGTAAGTACTCATAACATATAGAACCTTGACTAAGGGATACATGTATTCAAGATAACAGAGTAATGTAATGAGCATACTGTTGTGGTAAGTACTCGTAACATATAGAACCTTGACTGAGGGATACATGTATTCAGGATAACAGATTGATGTAATGAGCATACTGTTGTGGTAAGTACTCGTAACATATAGAACCTTGACTGAGGGATACTTGTATTCAAGATAACAAATGTAATGAGCATACTGTAAACTGTCCTTTGTTCTTCTTTCATGGTTATGCTAAAATGCTTTAAACTGATATATGTAAGCCCGCAGAAAGTATTTTGAAAGAAATATTATGTTTGTCACTGAGTTAATAGTGGAATTGCTAATCTTTTCTTGATGTTTTCGTTTAAAAAATCAAGACATGGTTAATATTGATGCTTTGAGCAAAGTTCTAGTACAGTGTAAACACAAAAAGAATTTTAAAAAAATAACAGCAACAAAAAGCAAAGTGATCATGAAGAAAGAAAGCTATAATATGTATAAGAATCCACTTTCGTTAGGTGCTTTTGTAGATGTGTTTTAAAGATAATTTTAATTTTTTGCTTTTTTTTTGCAGATGGCATGCCAGTCAACAGATCTGACATCTCTACGATTACTCCAGACAGAGTTATGGCCCTTGTTAACCACAGAACAGAATCATTTACTATTTCTTGTGATCCAGGAATTGTCACACCCATCAGGGGAAGGGGTCTAAATACAGAACCATTTACCATTTCTTGTGATCCAGGAATTGTCACATCCTTCAGGGGAAGGGGTCTAAATATCAGATACATGACTTCAGTTAAATTTTCTAAGTGAATTATAGAAGTTGTCCTCTCTTGATTAGCTTTATTTGTACTTATTCCAATTTTTGACACCAGCTCCTAGACTAATGTTCTATCATTTTTATACTTCCTAGGGTTATTTCATTTATTGCAGAAATCACAGCAATACGGCAAAGCAAATTTTCTGTTAATTTCTATCACGAAATCATATACTTTACAAGTTAAAAAATCAATTTTGACATATTTGGCTTTGTACAAAACATTTTTTTTTTTAATTGAAGATTTTATCTGGAAGATGCTATGTTTCCAATAATTAAATACTTGAATATTCATTGATAAAATTGCACTTGAAACAGTTGAAAGAGATACAGATTTTTGTCTAACTCTAGTATGATAACAAAGGAATTTAGTGTACAGACGTATGTTATTGTTTATGCTTGTAATTGAAATACCTGTAATGTGATTTTCCTAATACTGATATGTGTATGTGTAGATATGAGCTTAAGCCATATCAGAATTAATACCTGCCATAAATGCAGGACTGCACTTAGTGACATTTCTTTAACGAGTGTTAAATATTATCAGGGACCTATATACTATATATATAGGTCCCTGATATTATACATATTGTAAATTTCAATTTTTATAATGAGAATACTTTAAAGTACGCAAAATGTACTTTTTGATAAATTCTGGAATAGTTGAAAAATGTTTATTATTTTTAAAAGTCTAGTATTAGACTTGGGAAAATCTGAACTGCAAATCTTCTAATGTTGTCTACGGAATAGAATGTAATCTTTGTGGACTTATTTATGTTGGTGAAACCAAGGGTTCACTTCATGACAGATTTCAAATAAACAATGGGAGCCAGCAGTTTCTCTACAAGCACTTTAATTTACCTGATCATTCAATTTTGCCAATGAAAGTTAGAATTCTAGAAAAGATTTACCATCATACAAACAGTCCATCACCGAGTTCACCTTTCCGTAGACAAAGATAAGAATTTTGGATTAGAAAACTAGGGACGGCCTTTCCCTATGGATTCAATGACAATGTCGATAGTGTTGGAAATCTTTCCAGTCCACAGTGTAACAATAGCAATGTGATTGGACTTTTCAACCATACACAGAGACGTAAACGTAGTCATGGGCATCGGTCTTACAATAAACCTTGAATAAACGATGTCTCTTTTGATTCGTTACTACCGTTTGTTTTTTGTTTGTTTATTGTTTAACGTCCCTCTCGAGAATTTTTCACTCATATGAAGACGTCACCACTTGCCGGTGGAGAGCTACAAATTTTGACGTATACTCGGCACTGAGGGCCATTGAGCAGTGAGGGATTTTTTTCGTGCCAGCACCTGCTGCGACACGGGACCTCGATTTATACGGTCTCATCCGAAGGACCGGTCTCCACGTCCCACAGTGGGATTCGAACCCGCGACGTAAGGATCAACTCCTTACTCCGCGACTCTAGAGCTAACGCTCTAACCACTGCGCCACGCGGGCGATCGTTACTACCGTAAATCAACAGTTAGGTCTTCATCACATTCGCACCAAACTTTACTCTGTCCCTTTGAAACTTTTGAATAGTCAACTTGAAAAGATCAAGGAAAGTCCATTTTTTGATTCCCCGACACCAGAATACAGGCTCGGATCTGTGATTATGGATATTGCAAATCATAGGCATTTTAAACCACCACGTTTTACAGAAGAAAGTGCAGCTAAAACAACCCGTTTTTTTTCCTTAAACTACAAGCATTCTGAGAGTATTGAATTAGCAATACTAGTCCCCTACCTGCAAGTGTAATCTGGTTCCCGTTAAGAATTGAAAATGCCATAATTCCGTCAAAAATCAATGAAGCAGGACGAAATGCAAACTTGATCCTTAACTTATCAAGGTAAAGTCACATACCAAAAATCAGCTCAATATCTGAAAGCGTTTAGAAGAAAATTGCGGAAAACCCCCTAAAAATTGAAAAGGCCGTAATTCCGTCAAAAATCAATGAAGCGGAACGAAATGCAAACTTGATCTATAACTCATCAAGATACACTCACATACCAAAAATCAGCTCAATATCTGCAAGCGTTTAGGAAAAAAGTGCGGAAAACCAAGTGGGACAGACTGACAGACAGACGGACGGACAGACTCAGAGGAAACCTATAGTCCCCTCCGGTTTCACCGGTAGGGGACTAATAATGAGGACCTAAGATCACTAATTTTAAAAGGTCCTAAATATAGGGAACCCCGATCCTTTAACTGGCGTCGTAATTTCATACATATTATAGGTTCTGTAGAGGATTTCGCCAGGCGTTGGGTCAGACATGAAAAGGACCTTGACAGTTTGTCAGAATGGGTTAAATGTATCAGATATATGTTAAAATCTCGCATTAAACGATTGAGGGGCAGTATAAAAACCATCTATCCTTCTGTATTCAATAATTCAGAAGTGAAAAAAGGATTAGATAAATTACACGATCAGTACGTACTGGTCCCTGCTGACAAAGCAAATAACAACATTGTTTGTAAGGCTCATTATATAAATTGTATTTTAGAGGAACTGGGATTTAATTATACAAGTGGTAATCCAACTTATACTCATAGTTCCCTTTCTAAGGAGGAAATTCTTCAAAATCATATGTCAGTTTTGAATATTTTTAATATTCTCAACAACCAAAATGAATTTGAATTATCATATCTTTATTGGATTCCGAAACTTCATAAAATTCTTACAAACAAAGATACATAGCGGATTCCAGTAAATGTTCTACCAGGCCTCTTTCTTCACTCCTCACTAAGATATTAACAGTAGTGAAGGAGAAACTTCAAGAGTACTGTGCAATAATATATTCGAGAAGTGGTGTAAATCGGATGTGGATACTAAAAAATTCCAAGGAACTTTTGGAACATTTGAAATCACAAAATTTTACCAAAATCAACAACATAAAAACTTAAGACTTTTCAACTTTATATACAACTATTCCCCACGATAAATTATAGTTCAGACTTTCTGACATCGTTGACAGCTGCTTTTTCAATAAAACTGGAACTCGTAAATTTACTTACTTTGACATTGGTCATTTGCAAATTAAATTACTTTGTTAAAAACAATGTGATTGTACACACGAGTACTCTGAAGTTGACATTAAAAAGATGCTCGAGTTTCTGATTGACAATATGTATGTGGTTTTTGGAGATCAGGTCTTCCAACAATCTATCGGAATTCCCATGGGTACCAATTGCGCTCCGTTATTAGCAGACCTATTTTTGTATTCATATGAAGCAGAATTTGTTCAAAATCTTTTACGTGAAAAGAAGAAAACACTTCCTGTTGCCTTCAACTCAATATTTAGATATATCGACGACGTAATGTCAATTAACAATGGTTATTTCCATTCTTATATCGACACAGTATATCCCGGTGAGCTTGAGATAAAAGATACCACAGAGTCTGACACATCTGTTTCATATTTGGATATTTTATTAGAAAAAGACGTTAATGGTAATCTAACAACAAAGCTTTATGATAAACGTGATGACTTTAACTTTTCAATCGTCAACTTCCCTTACCTATGCAGCAATATATAACCATATCACCTGCATACGGGGTTTATATCTCTCAGTTGATTCGATACGCCAGAGCATGCTCTATGTATGAACAATTTCTAAAACGAGGTAAGTTATTGACAAACAAGTTGATGAAACAAGAATATCAGCAGTCTCGTTTAAAGTCATCATTTCGTAAGTTCTATGGTCGATGCAATGACCTTGTCAGCAAATACAATCTATCATTATGTCAAATGCTGACTGACTTTTTTCATACTAATTGTTAGGCCATTATTTACACACTGAACTGTTGACGGATTTCTTCGTTATTTCCCGATCATAACAATGAGCACACGGCGGGTGTGACCGGTCGGCAGTGGATGCTCACTCCTCCATGGCATCTGATCCCACCTCTGATGTCTTAGAGGTCCGTGTTTGCTCTGCTCCTATTTTGTAATGTTTAATGGACTTTTGAACTCGAATACTGTTCGTTATCTCCACATATTTCATTCATGCATAAGAAAGATAAAGAAAATTAAAAAAGAGTCAATTTCACCAATATTTATTGATTATTGTGTGATTAAAAGGCTTTACATGTTTCCCAATCCTTATTGAATTTATTCAATAAAATATGTTTAAATTATTATGTACCCGAAGAAAGTACATGTAAACATTTTTGTTCTTACCTCTCTGTTTCAAAATCGCTAACCTTCTACTGGAACATATTGAAACATACTGATAGTCCAAAATCTCTAACCTTCCACTGGAACAGATTAAAACTTGCTGCCGATAAACCAAAATCTCTAACCTTCTATTGGAACAGATTAAAACTTGCTGCCGATAAACCAGAATCTCTAACCTTCTACTGGAACAGATTAAACTTGCTGCCGATAAACCAAAATCTCTAATCTTCTATTGGAACAGATTAAAACTTGCTGCCGATAAACCAAAATCTCTAACCTTCCACTGGAACAGATTAAAACATACTGATAAACCAAAATCTCTAACCTTCTATTGGAACAGATTAAAACATGCTGTCCATAAACCAAAATCTCTAACCTTATAGTTTAACAGATTAAATCTTGCTGCCGATAAACCAAAAGGGTGTCAAGATCCTGTCTTCATAAGGATATAATGTAGATCTATATTTTCGAGACACTTTATTTTCGGGAGAAAGCTATTTGGTATTTATTAGCGAGACGAAGTTTTCGCGGGATATCCTTTTTATTGTATATAATCCTTAACAATACAAATATATGCGAGAATAAAATTTCCGCGAGCAGACAGACTCGCGTAATTACGCGAAAATAAAGTTCTCGCGAATAAAAAGTGATTTACAGTACACAAGGTAGTTTAGAACTTTATTTTATAATGACTTATTCCCTGTATAAATGAAGAGTTCAAATGACTGAAGGACCTTTGTGCAATGATGTCTAAAGATGCTGTACACCTCTTTTGAATCAAATTTTGAGGAAATGACAGCTTGGACTAATTTTTCTTTGAACAGCACAAGAACTTTCATTATTTGATAACTATTCAAAACCCATATATGCTGAGTTTTGTCTAAAAATATCTGATGGTACTATGATTTTATATTAAGAATATCTTAACAACATTATCAATGGGTAAGGTATGTTCAGCTGTTATTAGGTACATTGTGTATAACCTTAAGGTCGTATACCAGAAGTCAAGGTCACAGGACAGTGAGATAGTCAAATAGAGTTTTGATCATATTTCTCAGAACGTGGGTAAAATTCAAAAGGGTTCAATGTTTAACTTGATGTTACTCATGACCTTGAGATTATTCATAATCTTTATTCAAGTTAATGGGCAAAGAAGTAGGTAAATAATGTACAGGTGATAACCTTGGATTAATCAAATTAAGTATGTTCATAACTAAAATGTAAAGAATTGCGTCATGACGTTGATTTTGATATGTCTGTCTTTTGAAAGGCCATATTACGGTACATTTGTATTTCTCTTCCATCAGCTTTTCCATGTCCTAGTCATATCTTTAAAACTGCAAGATTAGAAACATACTTGACAGTTGATGAACTGTGGCAGGAACCACAGGCTCTTGTTTTTACCCAACAGTAAAATGATAATACCATATTACCAGGTGTTATACTATTGGGTAAAAAAAAACTATTACAGAAACAAATGCCGTGTTGCAAGCCCGAAATACATGGGGAGGAGAGGAAGGGATGCCGATGATGATTGGAATCTAACATACACACAAGGATTTGAGTTTTGTGAAACGATGCTTCGGACCTGAACTCAATTCATTCAAATCAAAGTTACAAAAGTTGAAACACGGAGTCACGGTGATGCATGCCATTTTCGGTGATTTTTCCACATCGTGTAACATTGTGTTTGAATCTTAACAAGCACAAAAATTTTAACCAGGTACAAACTGACAAAATCTCGGATTTGTAGGGTTCATTTCAAAGGAATCTCTATAAACAAATATATGTTCAGAATCACCGGGACCCATATATACGTATATGGCGCCCCTTCAAGATTAAGTGTTTAATACCCCCCCCCCCCACTCGTTTTTTAGCCCTTCACCTTATGTGTTTATTTATGTAATCATAAGGACGCTATATAATTCCATTTATTGTGTTTAAACTATGAAATACAGCTTAATGAGCATGAATTTACCAAGCAGTATAATCTATTTATACGAAATACTCTTGATAATAGAATAATTACACCTGTTTATTTTCACAGATAAACAAATTTATAATCAAACAAAAAAAAATTCCACAGCCTCTGTTGCATTTTAAAAATATTAAATGAACATTGAGTACATATTTAAGATTAATTTGTGGAGATTGTATTATAATGAAATATTTTTTCCTTGCAATTTCAATTTGATTAGATTCACATAATTGGTCTTTATGTCCGCTCGACACATTCAATTTTAATTTCCCTTTCAGAATAATTCTATGTGGAAAACGATTATTCACTTGGAAAGTTTTGGTGTACCCAAAATATTTGTTTTAAGTAATGGAATATTATAATATAATGACGTTTAATTGAAATCAATATCTCATCAATGTGTAAGGAAAGGACATTTAACAGCGAGCGAAGGTTCAATCGCTCAGCAATTCCCTCCGATACCAGCAGCATTTCTCTTTGATTTAAAATGGGACTTGACAGATTTAAGGCCAGCCACCTAATATTGGCTAAGGCTATAGGCGTTCGCCTGATGTTCCTTTTGCACTGCCTCCTAGCCGTATCTAGGGTATCAATGATTCTAAATGAATCGAAGTTTTGGATTTATTCCTTGGGATTTTTACCCGGGATCCTAGAGGGTATCCATGCAGTATACTTCAGAAAAGGTCTGGAGCACAAGTGGTAAGTTTAGCGCTGTGCTAAGTTTCTTATTCGTTGTATGCTTAATCAAATTGAAGATGAACAAGATGTGATTGTGAAACACTGATGCCCCCGTATGGCAGCTTATGGCGAAGGTTAAAGTTTCTCAAATGCAAGTTAAAATCCAAGCCAAAAGATAAAAAAAATGTTGGTACCCAAAGAAAGGTCTTGTCTCGAGGAATATATCTGTGAAATTTGAAAGACCTAGCTGCAACTGCTCAAAAGTTATGGCGAGGGTTAAAGTTTTTTAAAAGTAAGTAAAACGTCAAGGTCAAGGTCAAAGTGGTTGGTATCCAAAGGAAGGCCTTGTCACAAGGATTACATATGTGAAGTATGAAAGCCCTAGCACCAACCATTCAAAAGTTATGACCAAGGTTAAAAGGTTAAAGTTTTTCGAAAGTAGGTCAAACTCCTATGTCAAGGTCAAAGTGGTTGGTATCCAAAGGAAGGTGATGTCACAAGGATTACATATATGAAGTATGAAAGCCCTAGCATCAACCATTCAAAAGTTATGGCCAAGGTTAAAGTTTTTCAAAAGTAGGTCAAACTCCTAGTTCATGGCCAAAAGGTTAAAGTGGTTGGTTAAAAGGTCTTGTCACAAGAATTACATATGTGAAGTATGAAAGCCCTAGCTCCAACAATTCAAAGGTTATGGCCAAGGTTAAAGTTTTTCAAAAGTAGGTCAAACTCTAAGGTCAACGTCAAAAGGTCGTAGTTGTTGATATCCAAAGGAAGGCCTTGTCTCAAAGAATACACATGTGAAGTTTGAAACCCCAAGCACAACTGTTCAGAAGTTATGGCCAAGGTTAAATTCTCATAAAATTTTGCAAAAGTGGGTCAAACTCCAAGGTCAAGATCAAAAGGTCAAATATGATGGTACCCAAAGAAAGGTCTTGTCACAAGGAATACACATGTGAAAGTCATAGCTCCAACCAATCAGAAGTTATGGGCAAGGTTAAAGTTGACAACAGACAGACAGCCAAACGGACAAACAGTCAAACGGACAAACAGACAAACAGACAGACAGGACAAAAGCAATATACCCCCGGGATCTTTCGATCCGGGGGCATAAAAACACTTCCTTATTCCCTGTAGGAAATTTACAAAGAACTATTTAACTTAATTTCATTCAAAGGAAAACATTTTACAAAATTGCCTAATATATACAAAAATATTCTGGATTCTTAATTGTGAAGAACTAGATATATTAAATTCTCTTGGAAGATTTCTACAAAAGGCATTACCATAAGTTTAGTTTTAGGCATGTGAACTATTTATGATGAATTATGTATGTACTTTCATATGTGTATGATATAAGTATGTATGCATACAGATGATGCATAAATAAAACAAATATTTTTGCTCAGAACTTATGTATATGCGTAAAACCTATTTAATTATTCCTCCTTTTTATGTCTTCTTCATTTTAATCATGCAACTCTTTCTCTCTTGTGTGTATGTGTATTGTATTACATGTCTATGACTATATATGAGGTTTACAAAGTACTTTCTTTTTGCCCCATGAGAGCCCTTCATTGATAAATAAACTAATTGAGTTGTATTCGAAGATAGTTGCGGTTTTTAAAAAGTCATGGCCGTAGGATCCGAGGGGGGGGGGGGGGGGGTTGCCTCCCCCACAATAATTTTGCCGCTATATACGTTGGTATAGTATACTGTAGAAAACATTGTTACATTATGCTTGTGTCCCATCAATAATAATGTCTGATGACCTTTTGATTTGCTTTTTTTTTTTTTCTTTCTTTTTTCTTTTTTTTTTTTTTTTTTTTTTTTTTTTTTTGCTTGTAAAAGAATTTTTTCTTGATAGTGCCCCCCCAAACTGAAAATATTCTGAATTTGCTTCCTATGGGCCTGAAAGTTCCTACATGGTACACTAAATATAGAACTTATGAATTTAATCAGTTTTGTTTCTTTCTATAACTCCCGATAAACTAATAATGGTAAATCTTGTGAGTACGATTGATTTTCTTCACATAAATCTCTACAGTTCAGAATATGAGAAAACTTTCCTGTGATTACAGATATTAAAAAAAATACGAATTAAGATCACTGTTGCAATGGCATCATAAACTTAACCGTTCTCCATATATATTGAGTTCCTTTGAACTAAAGTTAGCTTTCTTTCAGGATCTCTCTTGGTACGCTCTTGTTTATTTGTCTGGATATCGTACCTATCTGGATTATGGAACTGGATCGGGCAGACAGGTTGCTTTCCAAAAGATCCGGAACCAGCAGCATTAAAATCTCATCAAAGAACTCGACAAACGGGACATATGTGACAACAACTGCAATGGAGACCAACAGAAATGAGGTAGAGATGATCACTTTTAAGTACTTGTACACGTACTTTTCTATATGGGGGAGTGTTTATGTTTGTTTGGCACTCAATTCAGTGCTCCACCACATGGTCAAGGAAACAAGTGGATCATTACAGGCCCGTAGAAATTCCAAAATGAGGTCACAGCGACCAACATTAAGGTCTTGTCAACCTTACCTAAAGATGCTTCAACTTGCGCGGATGGAGAGGATGATGGGGTCCCCCTCAGAGTTGAAAAGTTCTAAAGTTCTATGTAAAAGTAACGAAGATATGACTTGGACCCCCCCCCCCCCCGAAACACAAACCCCTCTTAAAATGGAAAGAAGAGTGATGTATCTGAAGAAAATAGATTTAGGAGTGTCTTCTAATGGTATAATGAAAATACTAAGAAACAAAAATTATTAACAATCGGGGTTTTCCGCTTCGAGACTGATTTCCGAGGTACTAACAGTGATAGTGTGATACCTATCATATTTTTGCAATCACTTTGTCGGGGAGATGTTCTCCTACTCGTCTCTTTAACCTAAACCCCATCTTTTGTGTTTCATATGCTTTTAATTAGACGAAATATTAGACGGACACATAAAATTTTCTCTTCTGCAGTAGGTTTGATATGTTACGCTTTATCTGATTCGTTGACGGAATACAGTTTAAATAGTTTAAGTTTACCCCCCCCCCCTTTTCAAAAGCACGGGCCTGTCAAAGGCATAATAACAGGTATTCAAAAGGCATAATAATGCCTTTTCAAAAGGCATAATTTAACGCCTTTCGAAAAGGCGTTGTAACGCCTTTTGGTAAGGCGGTAATAACGCCTTTTATCGAGTTATTACGCCTTTTTTCGCGTTATTACGCCTTTTTGAAAGGCGTTATAACGCCTTTTAAATATTTTTCTTCATACAGCTTTCGTAGACAAAATATTTACAAACGCATTATGATTTTTGACACTGTGACCTTGACCTTGAAATTGACCTGTTTTTCATTTTTTTTTTTTTTTACAAACTTTAACCTTGTTATAACTTTTGATTGAGAACAGGGCTCGTACATTACCTGTGACAAGTCCTTTCAAAATATACTATGATTTTTAATCCCGTGACCTTAAAGTTTGGCCTTCTTTAACAAAAATAACATTGGTTGTAACTTCTGGATGAAAAAAGATACGGTTTTCATATTTGACTAGTGCATTACCTGTGGCAAGATGTTGCAAACTTGCTTTGATTTTTGACCCCGTGTCCTTGACTTTCCAAGTTTGACATAGTTTACCAATATTAAACATTCGTAATATCGTAATAACTTTTGAATGAGAGATGGTAGGGTGTTTATATTTGACAAGTGCATTACCTATGCCAAAGAACTTCCTACTTGACCCCTGATCTTCCTTGAAGTTTGACATAATTTTCAAAAAAAAATTAATAGCCTGTTGGTGGTAATTTTTGAATGAGAGATGATAGGGTGTTCATATTTGACAAAGTTTCCGAATGTGCTTTGATATTTGACCCTGCGACCTTGACCTTGAATTTTGACCTAATTTTCAAACATTTTATCATTGCTGCTAACTTTTGAAAAGCTAAGATATGGCACTCATATTTGACACGTATATTACCTGTGTTAAGCATTTCCAAATGTAATATGATTGTTAACCTAAGACCTTGACCTTCAAGTTTTACTTAATTTTCAAAAAATTTAACATTGCTGGTAACTTTTGATTGAGAGAAGATAAGGCATTTACATTTGACATGTGCATTACCTGTTTCAAGACGTTTCCGAATTTACCGTGGTTTATTACCTTGTGACCTTGACCTTGAAGTTTAATCTACAGTATTTTTGAAATAAATTTTAAATGGTTATAACTTTTGAATGAGAGAAGAAAGCGCTTTCTTTGTGATAAGATCTTTTGGAGTATATTAGTATATTTTACCTCTAGACCTTCTTGAAGTTTGATGCAGTTTTGAGAAGCTTTAATCTTTGCCATCAGTAATTAAGTTAATAATTTATGTCTTTTTGTATGATGCACAGACAAGAAAGGAAACACAAACAAGGCAGTTACAATATGCCATAAATAATAATAGTATCCTAACCACTGAGACGCCGAAAGTGCATGGGGAACCACAATTCTTGTATTCACTGATCAATTGTTATAAATGAATTCATGGAAATGAAAATCAGACTGCGCGCGATAAAGGATAGTAATGTATTATCATTAAAATATTTTATTCAAAGACAAATGCAACAAATATATAAAAAAAAAAAATATTAATTATGAATGTCTGAATGCTAACAACAAAAACAGGACGCACAAACTTTACGTGCTGAAACCCTAGACCTTTGTCATGTGATAATGCCGATGATATGTACCACGCAGAAAAAAAATCATTGTGTCATTTGCAACTGTAGTGTATTCAAAACAAAATGCACCTCTTCTTAAAACTTTTGTATATCCGGAAACTTAACGTAGGTCGCGGGTTTGCTGACGTCGTTAAAACTGTGTACGCAATTTATATGATTTGGGCGACTTACTTGTGCACATTTGATTATGACGTCACAATAAAAAAGAAATCTGCGATGATTTTTGTTTCATCAAATTCTTCAGTATATCATTATTTAGCTATAACTTTTCTTGGAATTGGCAGTTTAGTGTTATATTATTTAAGCAACAACTTATCACAAATAATGAAGGCTTTTTACGATTTGTATAGTCGATACAATTCTTAGATATAACTTTTGTTGGAATTGGTAATTTAGCGAAGACGGCTCATTATAATTCGAATGATCGACACTGGAAGTATTAAAAAACGTTTATCAATCGGATCATCTCGCCGACGGGCCTTTCCTGCAAGCTTGGAAAAACAAGTGGTTGTTTTTCGGCTTGTCGGAAAGGCCCGAGAAATTGCGATTGATTTGTTTTCATTTGGTATCGCGAAACGATATGGACACAAGGTTCAACTGACCTTTTTCCTTTGATCATATTTGAATTAACAGTTTGATTTATTAATAAAGAAGCCATTATTTAAAAAAAATCGTAAATACATCTGTTACATCAAAAGATTAAACTTTATTTTTGAAAAGGATATTTTTAAAATGTATAGATCTACAAGTTTATCATAAATTAAATATTGCTAAGGTACGATGAAACATAAAGACAATTTTTTAGCGACACTGCCCTTCTGTTAGGGTACAACTATTTGATTCTGAGGGAGAGGAGGGTGGCAAATTTTACCGAGTCAGATTGTTTATTTTCACGTCGGTGAAGGACAGATTATTTATTTCCAAAAAACAAGGGCAGATTATTAATTCTTCTTCACTGAAAAAAGTCTGACAAGCCAAAAAAAAAAAAAAAAAATGAAAGAAAGAAAGAAAAACATCCCAAGTTGAAAACTCCCGGGGGGGGGGGGGGGTCTAGAACTGTCATGGACAGATTATTTATTTTCTTGCCCAGTCGAGGACAGATTATTTATTTTCAACATTTTCGAGGACAGATTATTATTTACAAAATCTGTAAGCCCCCCCCCCCCCCAAATGAAATGATCGTCCCCTAAGCAACAGCTTGCAATGCTGTTACCTACAGATTTTATTAGCTACTTTGCTTTCCATGTCCAACAAGTAGAATTAATGTTCTAAAAAAAACTGGCTGTTGATTACGTCAGATAAAATTAATTTTTAAATTCTCGTCCCATTTACCCCTCTGAAAATGTGGTATGTAAAAATAAATATTTTGTTGAAATATATACTGAAAATATATTATATTTAGCCAAGACGATATTTCGCAGAAATTCGTAGATTTAAGCGCCATGCTAAATGGTCTAAATAAAAACATTTTATATACTTGAATTACTTGAATTAGAGGATACCGTTTTCCGCCTGCACGCTGGAAAAAAATACAAACCATATGTAAGGATACGTCTAATTTGAAAAAAAAGCAAAATAAAACAAACAGAAAAGAATCGGTAAGAAAACAACACATAAAGAAAGTAAATTGGAAGAAAGAAACTAAAGGATTGATTGTTGTTTTACGTCCCTTGCGAGAATTTTCACTAAATAAGACGTACAAAAAATCTGATCTGAAGAGACACATGTCTAATAATCATTTCATTGATATTGAATTATTATGATACGATTCATGGGTTACTTGAAAGCAGATAGACGTGAATTTCTTTTTGATAAAAATTATTTTATCTTATTTTTCTGCACTGAATACCGGATCTAGATATTCACGACGTCAAGCATGACGTCGCGATATTTTATGACGTCGTTCTTAAAAATGTTACATTTTGCGATATAAAAGCAATTATCCACATTTAAATTATGCGAAAACTAACCCGAAGACATATTAATTTTTTTCACATTGATTTATTTCAAATCAATTCTTTGTTAAAATACCAAAGGGGAAACAATTTCGTCTGCGCCATTTAAAAGTTATTGATATTTTTTGAAACAAAATCTTGCCTCAAAACGAGCCGAAAACGACGTTTTTCTTATATAATTCAATAGAATAACGTTGAAAATGTAACGACATCAATGGCATGTTTGGGATTTAATTACACAAAAACGATGCAGACGAATTTTATAAAATTTTCAGAGAATATAAAACGAAGGTAGAGGATTCATACAACTAATTTTCATGATATGTTTTCGGACACTTTTAAATGGCCTGCAAACCCGCGACCTACGTTAATACGTTTTGCTTTTTATAACTTATGCTCGCCCCATGGTTGGGAGCAGTTCATGTAACTTATTATAAAACCATAAATTAATAAATATCTGACGAAAAATGAAAAACAAATTGAAACGTATTAACAACCATTTATAGCTAGTATTAAGCAAATTAAGAAAAAATATTCATAACTTTTATTCATGTTATCAATAAAGAACTATTCCATAGAAGCAATGAAAAAATAACGTCTCATTTCCCCATGTGCACGTACTAACACAACCACAAATAGATCGGCCGGCCCTGTGGCCATATTGAAAGGGTGAAAATGACGAACAGTGATTGATCT